AAAAATCTCCTGCATGGCAAAAGAAACCATCATCAAAATGAAAAGGCAACAAACTGAACGGGAGAAGATTTTTGCAAATAATATATCTGACAAGGGATTAATATCTAAAATTCATTAAACTCAACAAAAAAAAACCCAACCTGATTAGAAAATGGGCAAAGGATCTGAATAGACATTTTCCAAAAGAAGACATACAGATGACCAACAGGCACATGAAAAGATCTTCAACATCACTAATTATTAGAGAAATGCAAATCAAAACCACAATGAGATATCACCTCCTACTGGATAGAATGGGATTATTGAAAAGACAAGAAATAACAAGTGTTGGCTAGGATGTCGAGAAAAGGTAACCCTCATATACTGTTGGTGGGAATGCAACTTGGTATATAGCCATTGTGGAAAACAGTATGAAGATACTTTAAAAAATTAAGAATAGAACTATATAATCTAGCTATTTTACTTATTTATTTTTAAGATTTTATTTATTTGATAGAGAGCACGAGCAGGGAGGAGGGGAAGAGGGAGAAGCAGGCTCCCTGCGCAGGGAGCCCCATGCAGGGCTCTATCCCAGGACCCTGGGATCATTACCGGAGCTGAAGGCAGATGCTTAACTGACTGAGCCACCCAGCCATCCCTGACTTCTGGGCATTTATCCAAAGAATACAAAAATGCTGATTTGCAAAGATATTTGCACCCCCATGTTCATGCAGTATTATTTACAATAATCAAGAAATGGAAACACCCTAAATGTCCATCATTGGATGGATGGTTAAAGAAGTTGTGGTATATATATACAATGAATACTACTCAGCCATAAGAAAGAATGAAATTTTGCCATTTACAACAACAAAGATGGACCTTAAAGGTATTATGCTAAGTGAAATAAATCAGATGGCTGAAGACAAATATCAAATGATTTTACTTACATGTGGAATCTAAAAAAAAGCAAACAAATGAATTAACAAAATAATACAAATATAAGCTCACAGATACAGAGAACAGATTGGTGGTTACCAGAGAGGAAGTGAGGTGGGGGTGGGCAAAATGAGTGAATGGAGTGAAGTATGATGATGGATGATGGTAACGACTTTTAGTGGTGATCACTTTGTAGTGTATACAGATGTCAAATTACAAGGCTGTGTACCTGCAACACATAGTTATATACTAATTTTATCTCAAAAAAATGCTACAAACTGTACCCCCACACACTAGTATTAAAGAGTGTGACCAGTTGAATTTCAACTTCAGAAGTCTATTCTTTACTGCAAAGTTTAAAATATAGACTTTTCAGTTTGAGAAAACAGTATAATTCAAAATAACTACACTGTGTATGTTAAATATATCCTTGTTGAAAATACAATGGTATACAGGCAATTAGAGGATTATAAATAAGTTGTGACCCAAAAGCCTGGTAAATCCAGTTGCTACATATTCCCTCATTAAATCATTCATAAATCACAACTAAATTTATTGGACTTTTACTGCTTGTCCAGAGCTGTGCTAAATGCTTACATCATTCTCTTGAGAAGGGTGAACTTTTCTATTTACGATTTTACTGATGAGTAAATTTATGCACAGAGCAATTAAATAATTAGTCCAGGGTCATACTGCTAGAAAGTGGCAGGGCAGAATCTGAATAAGCAGACCATTCCTAAAGTCTGCCTTAGCCGGTGCCTTAACCATCATGAATTTCATCTCTTGCTGGGCAGGTCCAGAGGCTACTCTATATATCCTAGGATAGTAAAAGTAGTAATTACTAGGTAATAATGGTAACTATAGTTCTGGACATGAGAGCATACAAAGAAAAAAAAAACCCAGGATTAAGGGAGAAACTATACATTTTTTTTTCCTGGTAAGAAAATTAGGCATTGATTAAAAGAATTTACCTGTTCTATAGTTCTGAATACAAAACTAGAACAGATTAATCTTAAAGATTTCCATTTTGGTTCCCCTTAAACTTTTTTTTTAAAAAAATTTTATTATGTTATGTTAGTCACCATATAATACATCATTAGTTTTTGAGGTAGTGATCCACAATCCATTGTTTTCGTATAATACCCAGTGCTCCATGCAATATGTGCCCTCTTTAATATGATGATGACAAAGGTACTCTTTCACATGTCTTTATTTCATTGGCATTGGAAACTAATTTTTACAAGCTAAACAGGAATAATTCTTGGTTATTTAAGCACTACTGTTATTTTCAAAAACATGGGACTTTTAAAAATAACTAAATAATAATTTAGTTTCATAGACTTTCTAAAATTCAATGATAGTCATTTTTCTAGGAAAATAGCCAGGTTTTCTTCTTCCTCATCATGTAAACTGTTTTAATTTAAAATTATGTCTCTTAGCTTCCAAATTTTTATACACACAAGTGAATCAAACAATAATGTATTTGTGATCAGTCTTTATTTTTATATTAACTTTAGTTTTGCTCTTTACTCAGTGCAGACAGATCTAGACTATTTCCTCTAACAGTTGCATGAGTCTGTCTTATCACCTAAGGCTAATTTAAAAAGAGTGTATGTGTATACTTTAAAGGAAAAACAAAATGTTTACTGAAAGTTCTTGGCTAAAATTCTAAATAAAAGTATACTCTTCCCTCAGATGGCACATTTTCTTCTCCTTCATCATCTCAGACTTTTCTCCCAAAGTGAGGCTCCTTAGTTTTCTATAAACATGATTCCCAAAATGCCAGAATTCCTCTTGAACAAGGCGGTTGACTTCACTTATCGTATCTAGCTAAATGCTGAAACTGGTTTTCTAGTAGTAGTGGTGATAGGTTATAGTGAGTCACCCCCACTCCAACCCTTGTGACCGATGGCATGTACTTATGAGGTAATGGATCAGAATTCAGGCTCCAGGCTGTGGTTGAGAAGCAGCTTTTCTGTAAGACAATGTTAACTGTTACTGGAATTCTACCCCAAAACTTGGCACCACCTTGCAAATGAATGTTTCTCAACATTTACAGACAATGACGGGCTCTCAAACTTGCTAAATGAGATACATCGGGGAAGTATTGGGGGTGCTGGGGGTTCTCCCCTTGGTAGTCATCCATGGATTTCCCCCCATGGTGATACCTAAATGGGGTCTTGATGAATATGAAATTAGTCAGGCCAATAATAGGGGGGACGGGAGTTCCAAGGAGAGAAAAAAATTCAAAGACACCAAAAGGGAATAGGAGAATGATACATTCAGAGAAATGCAAGTAGTCTGCTACAGCTGCGGGAGATAGGAATGTATGGGAGAGTGTAAGAAATGAAGAAGAGAGTCTGGGTTTTGATGATAAAAACATCTATATGCAATTCTAAGATGTTAAAATATGTGTTGAAGGCAGTAGAGAGTCACAGAAAGTTTTGAAACAAGAATGAAGTATGAACAGATCTTGGCTTTAGTGACAGACTGAAAGAGAATAATGAAACCAATTGGGAGCTATTATAATAATTCAGGTTAGAAATGATGAGGACTTGAACTAAACAGCAATGGGCATGGAGTCCTGTGGTCAGCTGTGAGAGATATTAAAAATGAAAAAATCAGAGTGACTGACAGGGACAGGGAAGAAGACAGAATCAAGGGTGACTTTCAAGTTTCTGGTGTGGGTAGTTGATTGAGGTAGAAGATTATGAAGTAGGTTTAGGCTGGGCAGAGGATGAAATGAAGCCAGTAGGGGGTAAAGAGACTGGATATCCAACATATGCTGATGCTTACTGGACTGTTAGTTTTCCATTACATTTTCTCTAGAGGGAAAAATCATCATTTTAAAGGTCATTTTAGCCCTCTGTTATTATAGAAGGTCTCCTGTGTATTTCCAGAAGCAAAAAAGAGGTCATGGTCAATGTTAAATATATTTATACCATATATTCCAATGAGTACCAAAATGGATTGGACTCATATGTTCAATTCACATTAAAATATATGTCACAATGCATCTGCTTTTAAAGTGTGTGTCAGAAACAATTTCCAGAACAAATGCCAAATATCCTGGAGATACTTGAGTTCAAATTACCAATATATGCCATTGTACTTAAACTGTTTGCTACTTGGATATATACTAAATGTAGATACATGTTTGAAATCTGTTCTTACAGACTTTTAAAAAATTCTTAAATACTGTTTTTAAAAGATAATATATGAGAAAAAGACTGTTTTTATGGTGTTTCACCTTCAAAATGCACACATTTTCTTGAGAGGATGAGAGCCAAGAAAAACTTCAAAGTATATTGCTAGTATAGTACAAATGTCTGGATAACATAACTAAATACATTAGGGTGAACTAAAACCCCAAAGTGGACTCTTTACAAGTACCTAGATACTTGAAAAACAGACTAGCTCTGAATAATCCATTAAGATATATTTTATCCAGAATGAGCTATGTAGTCTGGTTTGCTTGGATGGAATAAATTATTGTTAAATTTCTGAGCCACGATTTGTCAGCATTTCTCAATTTTTTTAAATAAAATTCACACAAACAGATATCTAGTTTCATAATAATTATTAATGTGGACCTAGAGTGGCTTTACCCTATTTATTTCTCAATCTGGTTCAACTTAGATCATGGTAGAGTAAATTTCCTATATACTAAGGTCTTAAAAATCGAAAGAAAGGAAGAAAGCAAGAAAGGAAGAAAGAAAGAAAGAGGGAGGGAAGAAAAGAATTGAATAAAAACAAAAGAAAAAGATGGCATGAAAGAAAAAAAAAACTTCTTGTGACACTACTGCTGTGCAGCAAAACTGTCATCAAATTCCATCTCTTCTGGATGTATAGATTCATCAATGATCTATTCAAACTGCTTCTACAATGTGCAATGTCCGGTTTTTAGTAGCGTAGGATAGATATTTCATTTTTGTAACATTAGCCAAGACACTATTTATGAAGGTGGTTTCCTCAGCCATCAAACACTATATAGTGGAAAAATAATAGAGCTTGGAATATTTTTATTATAACTGATAAATTTAACATCTTGGCATAATATTATTATTAGAAGAATTACTTACTCAAGAAGATCTGGGTCTAGTCCTTCCGATATCATTTTGTTTCTTATTGCCATCACTGGAACACCCTAAGCAAAGGACATAAGAATCAATTATTAAAAATGCCTCCTTCATAAGAACAGATAAATAGAACAATGAAGAACTGAGAGCCCAGATATAAACCCAAATATAGATGGCCAACTAATATTTGACAAGGGAGCCAAGAATGCAGAAAAGAAAGTTTTTTCAATTAATGGTGTTGGGAAATTGGATAGTCACATGTAAAAGAATGAAACCTGATCCCTATCTTACACCACTTACAAAAATTAACTCAAAATGGATTAAAGACTTAAATGTAAAACCTGAAGCCATGAAACTCCTAGAAGAAAACACAGGAAAAAAGCTCCTTGATATGGGAGTTGATAATGATTTTACGGAAGTCACACCTAAAGCACGAGTAACAAAATACAAAATAAGTGAGATTATATCAAACTAAAAAGCTTCTGTACAGCAAAAGAAACCATCAACAAGGTGAAAATAATACAGAATGGGAAAAATATTTACAAACCATATATCTGGTAAGAGGTTAGTATCCAAAATATATAAAGAATTCATACAACTCAAAAGCAAAAAACTTAAATAATGCAATTTAAAAATGGGCAAAGAACATGAATAGGCATTTTTCCAAAGATATATGAATGACCAACACATACACAAAAAGATGCTCAACATCCCTAGTTAATAGAGAAATGCAAATTACAAACAATAAGACATCATCTCATCCTGTTAAGAGTGGCCATCATTAAAAAGATAAGAGGTAAAAAAAAAAAAAGATAAGAGGTAACAGATGCTGGCATGGATGTGAGCAAGGGAACCCTTGTGCACTCTTGGTGGGACTGTAAATTGGTAAAGCCACTATGGAAAACAGTATGAAGATTCCTCAAAAAATTAAAATAGAACTACCATATGATCCAGCAATTCCAGTTCTGGGAATATATCCAAAGGAAATGAATATACTAACTCAAAAAAGATATCTGCAGGTCCATTTTTGTAGCAGCATTGTTTATGATAGTCAAAACATGGAAACAACCTAAGTGTCCATCAATGGATGAATGGAAAAAGAAGTTGTGGTATATATACACACAATGGAATATTATTCAGCCATAAAATTGAGAAAATCCTACCATTTATGACAACATGGACAGACCTTGAAGGATTATGCTAAACACATAAAGACAAATATATTATGATCTCATTCTATGTGGAATCTAAAAACAAAACAAAACTACCAAACTTATAGAAAAAAGAGACCAGATTTGTGGTCCCTACCAGAGGCAGGGATGGGGGGTGGGAGGAAGGAGGGGGAATTGGAGTAAGGCAGTCAAAAGGAGAAACTTCCAGTTATAAGATAAAGAAGTAGTAGGGATATAATGTACAACATAACTACAGCCAACACTGCTGTGTGATATATAGGAAACTTGTTCAGAGAGTAGATCCTAAGAATTCTCATCATGAGGAGAAAATTTTTTCTTCTCACTGTACCTATGTGAGATGATGGATGTTAACTAAACCTATTGTGGTAATCATTTCACAATATATGTAAATCAAACCATCATGCTGTATGCCTTAAACTTATACAGTGATGTATTTCAATTATTTCTCAATAAAATAAAAAAAATTAAATGAATAGAAGCTAAAAAAAAAAGCCTCCTTTATAGGTCTCCACATATCCCCTAAAACAAGACCTTTTAGATGGCTCATATTTAAAATAGCTCTTATTTTGCTTTTACATTAGTATGTATGTAGCACTTGAATAATCTAATAAGGTACACATTTTAACTGACTCAGTGGAATCAGTGCTATCCAATATCACATATGCCCAAATTAAATCATTTGAGTTATCCATTACTAATTCTGCTGTAAACAAGTCAGATATCACATTCTCACTTTTCTTATACCTCCAAAAAAAAAATTGATAACTCAAACGATTAAAACCTTGGCTGGGATGTACAATAAATACTTAACAAGATGAGTAAATGTCTTTTCAAATAAAGATTTCGGAGCTTTCTAAAGTATAGCTATGTTAATGTTCTTTTCATAAGCAAATGGTCCAATTCCATTTGGACACAAAGGTCAAATAAAATTCAAGAATTCTCCTGGGACTGTATTATACATCTTGTATAATAAGAAAAGGATAAGAAAAGGATATGTTAGAAATATATATTTACTTGAAAAAGCAACTGAATTACTGAAAGCTCACTTATAAAGCTCTAAGGGAAGAAGATGCAATCAAGTCGGCCAATTCCTACTCTTCACATCATTCCTAAAGATGAGGAAACTAATATGTGTTAAATTTGAGGACCTTCATTATATCACTTTCCAAAGTGGAATCACTGTGCTTTAAAAGGTTGTACACACAGTTGGGACCCTCTCTGTCATATCTCTTCATCCCATGTGGCAGAAGGGGTAAGCCGAGCCAGAGCCCACGTGGGAAAAAGCTCCATCATTGCTCCACCGGTGCTGCATACTCTTCCCTTCAGGCGTTCAATGTCACTAGCCAGTTGTGTGATATTCAATTTTGAAACCAAGGTATAGAAGAGGCCCCTTAGGAGCACTAATGCTCCAGGTCCAATTTCTCAAAACTCTACCCTGAAGTTTCTGGGCACCAGCCCAACTAAGGTTCTCCTGCTTTCTTTTGCAGTTGTCCCATGTGTTTTCTGGTCTCAAGGATCTTAGGAGTAAATTTACTGGGTTATCACAATCCCACACCTTCAATGTTTAACATCACCAGGCTGCACAGTGCTTTATGCTGAGAAAAGACATAAACAGCCCCTGCCCTCAGGGAGTAGTCTAATAGATGTGTTAGATAAACACAGTGCAATCATGCAATTGATAACAGAGGCCTGCATAATCGTAATGTTAGACCCAAGGAAAGGCAGACTGAGTTGAGGATCCGCAAAGGACTTGCTGATGTGAGTCTTAAAGATGGGATAGAAGTTTTAGTTAAAATGAAAAACACAAAGACTTAGAAACATAGACAAGTCTTTAAATAACCTATTTTACACAAGTTGTCTCAAACATATTTTTAAGAACAAAGAGATACTTGTCTAGATAATTTCCTCCATCAAAGTGTTTATTTTATTTTACGTTTCACCCAATAAAAACATTTAAATCTCAGGGTTCTAGAGGGGAGGGGGTAGGGGGATGGGCTAGCCTGGTGATGGGTATTGAGGAGGGCACGTTCTGCATGGAGCACTGGGTGTTATGAACAAACAATGAATCATGGAACACTGCACCAAAAACTAGTGATGTAATATATGGTGATTAACATAACAATAAAAATAAAAAAAACATTTAAATCTCAGCAAGCATATGTAAAAACGTGAGAATCAAATGGATTATAAATTCAATATGAAGAATCTTCAAAGTTAATGACCATATATCTCTCACAAAAATGTTACAGATCTTGCCAAGTTAAATTCAGATCATTATTAACTATGATCTTCATTTTTAAAATCAGAAAATGTATTAAAATTTAATTCTTACTTATTTTTTTAAAAAATGTCCAGAAAAAACAGTTACAGAAGGAGTCATAAGATGTCTTCTATAACCATAATCTCTTATTTTGGTTGCGGAGGAGAAAAGTCCAAGTTCTCTACAGCTTGCTAGGTTAAAGGAGGTTGGGAAAACAAGGCTGTCTTTCAAATTTATAGTTTACCAGGAAGACTCTCTCCTGGGAGGTAGCAAAGGAAGACTGTCATTTACAGGCCCTTTTATAAATTCATCTTCATAACTGTTATGTCATAAATTTATAAAATACAATCTATTAAGACTCAGAAAGTGGAGTCCGTGGGTGGCTCACAGAGTTAAGTGCACCTGACTCTTGATTTCGGCTCAGGTCATGATCTCAGGGTTGTGAGATCAAGCCTCACGTTAGGCTCTGCGCTGGGCGTGTAGCCCGCTTAAGATTCTCTCTCTCCTCCCTCTGCTCCCCCCTCCCCCCACCATGGGGTCTCTCTCTCTCTCTCAAAAAAAAAAAGATTCAGAAAGTTATGGACACTTAAATGCATCCTAAATGTTAGACGAAAATAAATAGTACCATTGTATAATTCTCTTCAAAGCCATACTCCTGAAAGTAATACTGTTTCATGGTGCAAACTTCAAGAAATTCTAAAAAGTGAAATATGGTAGGTTTGGAAGACAAAAAAGGTGGGAGATAAAATCTTTTGTTAGCTTATGAAGTTTAAGGATAAATGAAAGGGAAAAAAAAGGCTGTTACTTGCTTAGGGGCATCCAATATGAACAGACACTTATATTTGGAACCAAAAAGCATGAACTTAAAACTTGTACCACTTTTAAAATATATTTTCTGGAACTAAGACTTGAGAGAAAGATTTTTCTCTTAAGTACAAAATGTACTTAATGATTACTTCATAATAAAATGCATTTAATTTTAATGGTGGAAGAGAAAGCTGACACTTGAAAGATAAGGTTGGGAATTTTACTTGATAATTAAAACTTAACTATTACTTAACTATTTAGTATAACAAGCAAAGTTAGGACTGTAAAAGAGATGTGAAAAAGAGCAGAGTTTTATGTTTTCCTTCTTTAAAAAGACCTCTCAGTTTCTATTAACTATGGTTTGATGGTATAAGGTCTTTCTACAAACTCAACTATGTGATTTATTTATTATACTTTAGCATAATCCACAGGATATCATTGGAAAGGTTATACAAATAAGTTACAAAGCCGAGAAAACAGAAGGGAGAAATGAAGTTGAAAAAAAATTTCCTAAAATATAGCAAAGAAAGTGTGTATGAGGTGCTAGTGAGGGGAGGTAGTGGGTAGGGAGTAATGGGGAAAAGGGAAGTTGGTAGAATTAGATAAGCTCCCTATTTTAACAGGAGTTTCATGGCCTTGGTTACAGTATAATACTCGAAACCTAAATATGTAAGCTCCATATTTTACCCTTAGTTTCTTGAAGCTGTTTACAGCACAAGAATACAGATATTACCAAAATTTGGTGACTCTTCAGTCATTTCTGTATATGGATATAGATAAAAGAAAATACAAATAACTTATCTTACCC